CTACTGAGACAGTGTCTACCTACTGAGGCACAGTGCCTACCTACTGAGACAGTGTCTACCTACTGAGACACAGTGCCTACCTACTGAGACAGTGTCTACCTACTGAGGCACAGTGCCTACCTACTGAGACAGTGTCTACCTACTGAGACACAGTGCCTACCTACTGAGACAGTGTCTACCTACTGAGGCACAGTGCCTACCTACTGAGACAGTGTCTACCTACTGAGACACAGTGTCTACCTATTGAGGCACAGTGTCTACCTACTGAGACAGTGTCTACCTATTGAGACAGTGTCTACCTACTGAGACACAGTGTCTACCATCTGAGACAGAGTGTCTACCTACTGAGACAGTGTCTACCTACTGAGACACAGTGCCTACCATCTGAGACAGAGTGTCTACCTACTGAGACAGTGTCTACCTACTGAGGCACAGTGCCTACCTACTGAGACAGTGTCTACCTACTGAGACACAGTGCCTACCTACGAACACAGTGCCTACTACTGACAGTGTCTACCTACTGAGACACAGTGTCTACCAACTGAGGCACAGTGTCTACCAACTTAGACACAGTGTCTACCAACTGAGGCACAGTGTCTACCAACTGAGGCACAGTGTCTACCAACTGAGGCACAGTGTCTACCAACTGAGGCACAGTGTCTACCAACTGAGACACAGTGTCTACCAACTGAGACACAGTGTCTACCAACTGAGCACAGTGTCTACCAACTGAGGCACAGTGTCTACCAACTGAGGCACAGTGTCTACCAACTGAGACACAGTGACTACCAACTGAGACACGTGTCACTAATGAGGCACAGGGGTCTACCAACTGGCACGTGCTACCACTGAGACACATGTCTACCAACTGAGACACAGTGTCCCACCAAATGAGGCACAGTCTACAACCTGAGCGTGAAATGTTACAACTGAGCACAGTGTCTCTAACTGAGACAGTGTTCCAACTGAGACACGTGTCTACCACTGAGGCACAGTGTCTACACTGAGACACAGTGTCTACCAAATGAGCACAGTGACTACCAGACTGAGACACAGTGTCTACCAACTGAGACACAGTGTCTACCAACTGAGACACAGTGTCTACCAACTGAGACACAGTGTCTACGAACTGAGACACAGTACTCACCTAGTTGTACTCACCTAGTTGAGGTTGCGGGGGTCGAGTCCGAGCTCCTGGCCCCGCCTCTTCACTGATCGCTACTAGGTCACTCTCCCCGACCGTGAGCTTTATCATACCTCTGCTTAAAGCTATGTATGGATCCTGCCTCCACTACATCGCTTCCCAAACTATTCCACTTACTGACTACTCTGTGGCTGAAGAAATACTTCCTAACATCCCTGTGATTCATCTTTGTCTTCAACTTCCAACTGTGTCCCCTTGTTACTGTGTCCAGTTCTGGAACATCCTGTCTTTGTCCACCTTTCAATTCCTCTCAGTATTTTGTATGTCGTTATCATGTCCCCCTTATCTCTCCTGTCCTCCAGTGTCGTCAGGTTGATTTCTCTTAACCTCTCCTCGTAGGACATACCTCTTAGCTCTGGGACTAGTCTTGTTGCAAACCTTTGCACTTTCTCTAGTTTCTTCACGTGCTTGGCTAGGTGTGGGTTCCAAACTGGTGCCGCATACTCCAATATGGGCCTAACGTACACGGTGTACAGGGTCCTGAATGATTCCTTATTAAGATGTCGGAATGCTGTTCTGAGGTTTGCTAGGCGCCCATATGCTGCAGCAGTTATTTGGTTGATGTGCGCTTCAGGAGATGTGCCTGGTGTTATACTCACCCCAAGATCTTTTTCCTTGAGTGAGGTTTGTAGTCTCTGACCCCCTAGACTGTACTCCGTCTGCGGCCTTTCTTTGCCCTTCCCCAATCTTCATGACTTTGCACTTGGTGGGATTGAACTCCAGGAGCCAATTGCTGGACCAGGTCTGCAGCCTGTCCAGATCCCTTTGTAGTTCTGCCTGGTCTTCGATCGAGTGAATTCTTCTCATCAACTTCACGTCATCTGCAAACAGGGACACCTCAGCGTCTATTCCTTCCGTCATGTCGTTCACAAATACCAGAAACAGCACTGGTCCTAGGACTGACCCCTGCGGGACCCGCTGGTCACAGGTGCCCACTCTGACACCTCGCCACGTACCATGACTCGCTGCTGTCTTCCTGACAAGTATTCCGTGATCCATTGTAGTGCCTTCCCTGTTATCCCTGCTTGGTCCTCCAGTTTTTGCACCAATCTCTTGTGTGGAACTGTGTCAAACGCCTTCTTGCAGTCCAAGAAAATGCAATCCACCCACCCCTCTCTCTCTTGTCTTACTGCTGTCACCATGTCATAGAACTCCAGTAGGTTTGTGACACAGGATTTCCCATCCCTGAAACCATGTTGGCTGCTGTTGATGAGATCGTTCCTTTCTCGGTGTTCCACCACTCTTCTCCTGATAATCTTCTCCATGATTTTGCATACTATACATGTCAGTGACACTGGTCTGTAGTTTAATGCTTCATGTCTGTCTCCTTTTTTAAAGATTGGGACTACATTTGCTGTCTTCCATGCCTCAGGCAATCTCCCTGTTTCGATAGATGTATTGAATATTGTTGTTAGGGGTACACATAGCGCCTCTGCTCCCTCTCTCAATACCCATGGGGAGATGTTATCTGGCCCCATTCCTTTGAGGTATCTAGCTCACTCAGAAGCCTCTTCACTTCTTCCTTGGTTGTGTGCACTGTGTCCAGCACTGGTGGTGTGCCCCACCTCTCCGTCTTTCTGGAGTCCCTTCTGTCTCTTCTGTGAACACTTCTTTGAATCTCTTGTTGAGTTCTTCACATACTTCACGGTCATTTCTTGTTGTCTCTCCTCCTTCCTTCCTTAGCCTGATTACCTGGTCCTTGACTGTTGTTTTCCTCCTGATGTGGCTGTACAACAGTTTTCGGTCAGATTTGGCTTTTCGCTGCTATGTCATTTTCATATTGTCTTTGGGCCTCCCTTCTTATCTGTGCATAATCGTTTCTGGCTCTGCGACTGCTCTCCTTATTCTCCTGGGTCCTTTGCCTTCTATATTTCTTCCAATCCCTAGCCACACTTGGTTTTTGCCTCCCTGCACCTTTGGGTGAACCATGGGCTCATCCTGTCTTTTTCATTATTCCTGTATACCCTTGGGTACAAACCCTCCTCAGCCTCCTTGCATTTTGTTGCTACATATTCCATCATCTCATTAACTGGCTTCCCTGCCAGTTCTCTGTCCCACTGAACCCCGTTCAGGTAGTTCCTCATTCCTGTGTAGTCCCCTTTCTTGTAGTTTGGCTTCATTCGTCCTGGCCTTCCTGCTTCTCCCTCCACTTGTAGCTCTACTGTGTATTCGAAGCTTAAAACCACATGGTCACTGGCCCCAAGGGGTCTTTCATATGTGATGTCCTCGATATCTGCACTACTCAAGGTGAATACTAAGTCCAGCCTTGCTGGTTCATCCTCTCCTCTCTCTCTTGTAGTGTCCCTTACGTGTTGGTACATGAAGTTTTCCAGTACCACCTCCATCATCTTAGCCCTCCATGTATCTTGGCCCCCATGTGGGGTCCAAGTCTCCCCAAACGATCTCCTTTTGGTTTAAAGTCACCCCCTGATCAGGACTTTTCCCCCATGCATGAGCTCTTCGGCCCCTCTACCAGTGTGCAACCTCGCTTATTGCTCTCGTCGTACTCTGCCTTTTGGTTTTCCCCTTTCGTGGTGGGGTTTTACATCACTGCTTACCACCTTTGGGGCCTCCAAGTGAAATGTTCCTGCATGTACACTTTCTTCCCGTTGTCTCCTCTCTCCGCCATCAAAATTCCCGCGATTTTTTGATCACAATGCCCCTCCTCCCCCCCCCTGTTTTCCCCCTGTTTTTCCTCAGGGTTTGGTATCCCTTGGAAAAAATGGATCTGTTATCATACCTGTAAGTTGGTTTCTGTGTCTACCAAATGAGGCACAGTGTCTAACAACTGAGAACGGTGTCTCCCCAATGAGACAGTGTCTACCAACTGAGGCACAGTGTCTACCAATGAGACACGGTGTCTACCAACGAGACAGTGTCTACCAACTGAGGCACAATCTACCAATGAGGGGCACAGTGTCTACCAACTAGGCACAGTGTCTACCAACGAGACAGTGTTACCAAATAGGGACAGTGTCTACCAACGAGCACGTGTTTCCCAATGGGCACGGTCACCACTGAGGCACGTGTCTACCAAGAGACAAAAGGTGCTACCACTAGACAGTGTCTACCAAATGAGGGACAGTGTTACCAACTGAGGCAAGGTCTACCAAAGGCACAGTGTCTACCTCTTTTAAAAACATATGGACAACATGTAGGGCGGGGCCAAGACAAAATTAGGTCGGGACCGAGAGATAAGCAACCGACAGATAATATATTTAAACAGATTAATAATTTAAGGGTATTTGAAAGACGATAGATTATTGACAGATATAAATACAACAGAAATAACATATTGACAGATTTATAGCGAAACAGACAGGATATGAAAAATTGGAGACGACAGATAGACAAACAGATAGACAGAGAGTGTTTATAATTTCCATTTGATTATTCAGCTTTATCTTACTTTCAGGTACTGTTTTTACTTCTCGTTCCTCCATTTTGACTTAGACTTTACCTACAATAGCTTTCTCAGCTTTATCAGCTTTATTAGCTTGGTTTAAAGCTTAGTTCTCAGCTTAAGTCTATTTTAAATTTCGCGGGAATTTGCGGTTTTTAACTCCGACTTTCGCCGCCAGATGCCCTTCCGTAGCACGCTAGCGTTCGCCATTTTGACCTTAACTTCAACTTCCCTAAACCCATATATCTCCAAAACTAAATATTTTACAACCCTACAATGACACCACATATATAAATCTCCATTCAAATGTTCATTTTAAATACATATAGAGATTTATATTGGTGATATAATTGGAAATCTAAATAATTTTGTCCGTGTCGAGGCATTCGGACACACAGATGTGTTCTGTCCTGGACGCAAAAGGAACAACTGGTTATAAGTTTGTGTTGTTTTCGGTTAATTTATAAAGTTCCCGACGACTCCAAGTGGATGATAGGCAAGCCGAGGTGTCCATAGGTTCGTATTGCCCCCATAGGCCTCCAGAAATAAATCCTAATAGGCCTAAAAGGGGAGATAATGGAGGGAGAATAGAGCCGTTGTCAGCCCAGGGGAGGTAATGGAAGCTGCAAATTCTCACTTTTCTCTGTTTTTGTCGTGTTTGTCCGTGTTTGTTCGTGTTTGTCCGTCCGTGGGTAGTTGTCCGTCCTTGTTCGTGACCGGTCTGACACACCTGCGGTCCAAACGGACGTCAAAAAACACCCAAAATATGGAAAAATGTGTTTTGGAGGGATGCGGGTGACAAACCCGCATTAGTCATGTGTGTGAGTTGTGAGTCATGTGTGTGAGTTGTGAGTCGTGTGTGTGAGTTGTGAGTCATGTGTGTGAGTTGTGAGTCGTGTGTGTGAGTTGTGAGTCATGTGTGTGAGTTGAGTCATGTGTGTGAGTTGTGAGTCATGTGTGTGAGTTGTGAGTCATGTGTGTGAGTTGTGAGTCATGTGTGTGAGTTGTGAGTCATGTGTGTGAGTTGTGAGTCATGTGTGTGAGTTGAGTCATGTGTGTGAGTTGAGTCATGTGAGTTGTGAGTCATGTGAGTTGTGAGTCATGTGTGTGAGTTGTGAGTCATGTGTGTGAGTTGTGAGTCATGTGTGTGAGTTGTGAGTCATTGTGTGTGAGTTGAGTCGTGTGTGAGTTGTGAGTCGTGTGTGAGTTGAGTCGTGTGTGAGTTGTGAGTCATGTGTGTGAGTTGAGTCATGTGTGTGAGTTGTGAGTCATGTGTGTGAGTTGTGAGTCATGTGTGTGAGTTGTGAGTCATGTGTGAGTTGAGTCATGTGTGTGAGTTGTGAGTCATGTGTGAGGGCGTGAGTCGTGTGTGAGTTGTGAGTCATGTGTGAGTTGTGAGTCAGGTGTGTGTTGTGAGTCGTGTGTGAGTTGTGAGTCAGGTGTGTGAGTCGTGTGTGAGTTATGAGTCATGTGTGTGAGTTGTGAGTCATGTGAGGAGTCGTGTGTGAGTTGTGAGTCGTGTGTGAATTGAGTCATGTGTGTGAGTTGAGTCATGTGTGAGTTGAGTCATGTGTGTGAGTTGAGTCATGTGAGTTGTGTCGTGTGTGAGTTGAGTCAGGTGTGTGAGTTGAGTCAGGTGTGAGTTGTGAGTCATGTGAGTCGTGAGTCGTGTGTGAGTTGAGTCATGTGTGTGACTCGTGAGTCATGTGTGTGAGTTGAGTCATGTGTGTGAGTTGAGTCATGTGTGTGAGTTGTGAGTCATGTGTGAGTTGTGAGTCATGTGTGTGAGTTGTGAGTCAGGTGAGTTGAGTCATGTGTGAGTTGTGAGTCATGTGTGTGAGTTGAGTCATGTGTGAGTTGAGTCATGTGTGTGAGTTGAGTCATGTGTGTGAGTTGTGAGTCAGGTGTGTGAGTTGTGAGTCATGTGTGTGAGTTGTCATGTGTGTGAGTTGAGTCATGTGTGAGTTGAGTCATGTGTGTGAGTTGAGTCATGTGTGTGAGTTGTGAGTCATGTGTGTGAGTTGTGAGTCATGTGAGTTGTGAGTCATGTGTGTGAGTTGAGTCAGTTGTGAGTCATGTGAGTTGAGTCGTGTGAGTTGTGAGTCAGGTGTGTGAGTTGAGTCGTGAGTTGTGAGTCGTGTGTGAGTTGAGTCGTGTGTGAGTTGAGTCATGTGTGTGAGTTGAGTCATGTGTGTGAGTTGTGAGTCATGTGAGTTGTGAGTCATGTGTGTGAGTTGTGAGTCATGTGTGTGTGAGTTGAGTCATGTGAGTTGTGAGTCAGGTGTGAGTTGTGAGTCATGTGTGTGAGTTGTGAGTCATGTGTGTGAGTTGAGTCAGGTGTGTGAGTTGAGTCAGGTGTGTGAGTTGTGAGTCATGTGTGAGTTGAGTCATGTGTGTGAGTTGTGAGTCAGGTGTGTGAGTTGTGAGTCATGTGTGAGTTGTGAGTCATGTGTGTGAGTTGTGAGTCAGGTGTGAGTTGTGAGTCATGTGTGAGTTGTGAGTCATGTGTGTGAGTCAGGTGTGAGTTGTGAGTCAGGTGTGTGAGTTGAGTCGTGTATGAGTTGAGTCATTGTGTCAGGTGTGTGAGTTGTGAGTCAGGTGTGAGTTGTGAGTCAGGTGTGTGTCATGTGAGTTGAGTCAGGTGTGTGTCATGTGTGTGAGTTGTGAGTCATTTGTGTGAGTTGTGAGTCAGGTGTGAGTTGTCAGTCAGGTGTGTCATGTATGAGTTGAGTCAGGTGTGTGAGTTGTGGGTCAGGTGTGTGAGTTGTGAGTCAGGTGTGTCATGTGTGAGTTGTGAGTCAGGTGTGTGTCATGTGTGTGAGTTGTAAGTCAGGTGTGTGAGTTGTAGTCAGGTGTGTCATGTGTGTGAGTTGTAAGTCAGGTGTGTGAGTTGAGTCAGGTGTGTGAGTTGAGTCATGTGTGAGTTGTGAGTCAGGTGTGTGAGTTGTGAGTCATGTGTGTGAGTTGTGAGTCAGGTGTGAGTCGTGTGTGAGTTGAGTCAGGTGTGAGTTGTGAGTCAGGTGTGTGAGTTGTGAGTCAGGTGTGAGTTGTGAGTCAGGTGTGTGAGTTGAGTCAGGTGTGTCATGTGTGTGAGTTGTGAGTCATGTGGTCATGTGTGTGAGTTGTCAGGTGTGTGAGTTGTGAGTCAGGTGTGTGAGTTGTGAGTCAGGTGTGTGAGTTGAGTCAGGTGTGAGTTGAGTCAGGTGTGTCATGTGTGAGTTGTGAGTCAGGTGTGTGAGTCATGTGTGTGAGTTGAGTCAGGTGTGTGAGTTGAGTCATATGTGTGAGTTGAGTCAGGTGTGAGTCATGTGTGAGTTGAGTCATGTGAGAGTTGTGAGTCATGTGTGTGAGTTGTGAGTCAGGTGTGAGTTGAGTCAGGTGTGTGAGTTGTGAGTCATGTGTGAGTTGTGAGTCATGTGTGTGAGTTGTGAGTCAGGTGTGAGTTGTGAGTCAGGTGTGTGAGTTGTGAGTCAGGTGTGTGAGTTGTGAGTCAGGTGTGTCATGTGTGAGTCAGGTGTGAGTTGTGAATCAGGTGTGAGTTGAGTCAGGTGTGTGAGTTGTGAGTCAGGTGTGTGTCATGTGAGTTGTGAGTCAGGTGTGAGTCATGTGTGAGTTGTGAGTCAGGTGTGTGAGTTGAGTCAGATGTGTGAGTTGTGAGTCATGTGTGTGAGTTGAGTCAGATGTGTGAGTTGTGAGTCAGGTGTGAGTTCTGAATCATGTGTGTGAGTTGTGAGTCATGTGTGTCATGTGTGTGAGTTGAGTCTTGTGTGTGTCATGTGTGTGAGTTGAGTCATGTGTGTGTTTCGTGAGTCATGTGAGTTGTGAGTCATGTGTGTGAGTCATGTGTGTGAGTTGAGTCAGGTGTGTCGTGTGAGTTGTGAGTCAGGTGTGTGAGTCATGTGTGTAAGTTGAGTCAGGTGTGTGAGTTGTGAGTCAGGTGTGTGAGTTGAGTCAGGTGTGTCGTGTGTGAGTCATGTGTGTGAGTTGAGTCAGGTGTCGTGTGTGAGTTGCGAGTCAGGTGTGTCATGTGTGTGAGTTGAGTCAGGTGTGTCATGTGTGTGAGTCAGGTGTGTCATGTGTGTGAGTTGAGTCAGGTGTGTCATGTGTGAGTTGAGTCAGGTGTGTGAGTTGTGAGTCATGTGAGTTGAGTCAGGTGTGCGAGTTGAGTCGTGTGTGAGTTGTGAGTCAGGTGTGTGAGTTGTCATGTGTGTGAGTTGAGTCGTGTGTGAGTTGTGAGTCGTGTGTGAGTTGTGAGTCGTGTGTGAGTTGTGAGTCATGTGTGTGAGTTGAGTCAGGTGTGTGAGTTGTGAGTCAGGTGTTTGTCATGTGTGTGAGTTGTGAGTCAGGTGTGTCGTGTGTGAGTTGAGTCAGGTGTCATGTGTGTGAGTTGTGAGTCAGGTGTGTGAGTTGTGAATCAGGTGTGTCATGTGTGTGATTTGTGAGTCAGGTGTGTCATGTGTGAGTTTGTGAGTCAGGTGTGAGTCGTGTGAGTTGAGTCAGGTGTGTGAGTTGAGTCAGGTGTGTCGTGTGTGAGTTGTCAGGTGTGTCAGGTGTGTGAGTTGTGAGTCAGGTGTGTCGTGTGTGATTTGTGAGTCAGGTGAGTCAGGTGTGAGTTGTGAGTCAGGTGTGAGTTGTGAGTCATGTGTGTGAGTTGTCAGGTGTGTGAGTTGAGTCAGGTGTGAGTCATGTGTGTGAGTTGAGTCAGGTGTGTGAGTTGAGTCGTGTGTGAGTTGTGAGTCAGGTGTGCGAGTCGTGTGTGAGTCAGGTATGTGAGTCAGGTGTGTCATGTGCGTGAGTCAGGTATGTAAGTCAGGTGTGTGAGTTAGGTATGAGTCAGGTGTCATGTGTGTGTCAGGTATGTGAGTCAGGTGTGAGTTGTGTGAGTCAGGCGTGAGAGTTGTGTGAGTCAGGCGTGAGAGTCAGTTGTGTGAGTCAGGTGTGTGAGTCAGGTGTCAGTTGTGTGAGTCAGTTGTCAGGTGTGTGAGTCAGTTATGCGAGTCGTGTGAGTCAGGTGTGTCAGGTGTGTCAGTTGTGAGTCGTGTGAGTCAGTTGTGTGAGTCAGGTGTGCGAGTCAGGTGTGTGAGTCATGTGTGTGTCAGGCGTGAGTCGTGTGTGTGAGTCAGTTGTGTGAGTCAGGTGTGTGTCAGTTGTGTGAGGTGTGAGTCATTGTGTCAGGTATGTGAGTTGTATGTGATTCAGGTGTGTGAGTCAGATGTGTGAGTCAGTTGTGAGTCATGTGTGTCAGTTGTGTGAGTCAGGTGTGTCAGTTGTGAGTCAGTTGTGTGAGTCAGTTGTGTGAGTCGTGTGTGTCAGGCGAGTCGTGTGTGTGATTCAGGTGTGAGTCAAGTATGAGTCAGTGTGAGTCAGGTGTGTAAGTTGTGTCAGTTGTGTGAGGTGTGTCAGGTGTGTCAGGTGTGTGAGTCGTGTGTGTGATTTAAGTGTGAGGTGTGAGAGTCAGTTGTGTGAGTTGTGTGAGTCAGGTGAGTCGTGTGTGTGATTCAGGTGTGTGAGTCAAGTGTGTGAGTCAGTGTGAGTCAGGTGTGTAAGTTGTGTGAGTCAGTTGTGTGAGGTGTGAGTCAGTTGTGTTAGTCAGGTGTGTGTCAGGTGTGTGAGTCGTGTGTGTGATTTAAGTGTGAGTCAGGTGTGTGAGTCAGTCAGGTGTGTGTCAGTTGTGTGAGTCAGGTGTGTGAATCAGTTGTGAGTCAGTTGTGTGAGTCAGGTGTGAGTCGTGTGAGTCAGGTGCGTGAGTCAGTTGTGAGTCAGGTGTGTCTTGTGTGAGTCAGGTGTGTCAGTTGTGTGAGTCAGTTGTGAGTCAATTGTGTGAGTCAGGTGTGTGAATCAGTGTGAGCCAGTTGTGTGAGTCAGGTGTGTCAGTTGTGTGAGTCAGTTGTGAGTCAGGTGTGTCAGTTGTGTGTCAGTTGTGAGTCAGGTGTGAGTCAGTTGTGTGAGTCAGGTGTGTGAGTCAGTTGTGTGAGTCAGGTGTGTGAGTCAGTTGTGTGAGTCAGGTGTCAGTTGTGTGAGTCAGTTGTGAGTCAGATGTGTGAGTTAGGTGTATGTCAGGTGAGTCATGTGAGTTGAGTCAGTTGTGTGAGCCATATGTGAGTTGAGTCAGTTGTGAGTCATGTGAGTTGAGTCAGTTGTGTCAGTGTGAGTCATGTGAGTTGAGTTGTGAGTTGAGTCATATGTGAGTTGTGAGTCAGGTGTGAGTCATGTGAGTTGTGAGTCATGTGAGTTGTGAGTCAGGTGTGTGAGTCATGTGAGTTGAGTCAGTGTGAGTCATGTGAGTTTTGAGTCAGGTGTGTGTCATATGTGTGAGTCTGTTGTGTGAGTTGTCATATGTGAGTTGTGAGTCAGTTGTGTGAGTTGTGAGTCAGGTGTCAGGTGAGTCATATGTGAGTTGTGAGTCGGTTGTGTGAGTCAGGTGTCAGGTGTGTGTCATGTGTGACATGTGAGTTGTGAGTCAGGTGTGTGAGTTGTGAGTCATATGTGAGTTGAATCAGGTGTGTCAGTTGTGAGTCATGTGACTTGAGTCAGGTGTGTCAGTTGTGAGTCAGGTGTGTGTCATGTTAGTTGAATCAGATGTAAGTCATATGTAATTTGTGAGTCACGTGAGTTGTGAGGTGAATCATGAGAGTTGAGTCAGGTGTGTGTCATGTGAGTTGTGAGTCAGGTGTGTGTCATGTGAGTTGTGAGTCAGGTGTGTCATGTGAGTTGTGAGTCAGGTGTGTCATGTGAGTTGTGAGTCAGGTGTGAGCCGTGTGTCATTTGTGTCAGATGTGAATCATATGTGAGTTGTGAGTCAGGTGTGTCATGTGAGTTGTGAGTCAGGTGTGTGTCATATGAGTTGTCAGGTGTGTGTCATGTGAGTTGAGTCAAGTGTGTCATGTGAGTTGAGTCAGGTGTGTGTCATATGTGAGTTGTCAGGTGTGTCATTTGTGAGTCAGGTATGTGTCAGGTGTCATTTGTGAGTCACGTGTCAGTTGAGTCAGGTGTGTGTTTCAGTTGTGAGTCATGTGTCAGTTGAGTCAATGTGTGTCAGTTGTGAGTCAGGTGTCAGTTGAGTCAGGTGTCAGTTATGAGTCAGGTGACAGTTGTGAGTCAGGTGTGTCTGTGAGTCAGGTGTCAGTTGAGTCAGTTGACAGTTGTGAGTCAGGTGTCACTTGAGTCAGGTGTCAGTTGTGAGTCAGGTGTCAGTTGTGAGTCAGGTGTGTCAGTTGTGAGTCAGGTGTGTCAGTTGAGTCAGGTGTGTCAGTTGTGAGCCAGGTGTCAGTTGTGAGTCACTTGTGTCAGTTGTGAGTCACTTGCGTCAGTTGAGTCAGGTGTCAGTTGTGAGTCACTTGTGTCAGTTGTGAGTCAGGTGTCAGTTGTGAGTCAGGTGTGTCAGTTGTCAGGTGTCAGTTGTGAGCCAGGTGTGTCAGTTGTGAGTCAGGTGTCAGTTGAGTCAGGTGTCAGTTGTGAGTCAGGTGTCAGTTGTGAGCCAGGTGTGTCAGTTGTGAGTCAGGTGTCAGTTGTGAGTCAGGTGTGTCAGTTGTGAGTCAGGTGTCAGTTGTGAGTCAGGTGTGTCAGTTGAGTCAGGTGTCAGTTGAGTCAGGTGTCAGTTGTGAGCCAGGTGTGTCAGTTGTGGGTCAGGTGTCAGTTGAGTCAGGTGTCAGCTGAGTCAGGTGACAGTTGTGAGTCAGGTGTCAGTTATTACAGGTTAGTGATAGTACCATTGTTATCACAGGTTTCTTTAATAGTACCATTGGTTCACTTAGGTCTTAGGTCATCACCATTGTTATTACTAGTACCAATGGTTCACTTAGATTACCCTAGGTGAGTTTACACTATGATAATTGTGTACCTGTACCTGAGTAGACTTTAGAAGCTTTTATTAACTGTGTCAAGAGTCCACGTGCCAAGGTCATCATTAACATCAATATTGTTGCAGGTTCGAGTGTTTGATATTATCCACGATGGGGGAAGATTTCCTCTCTCTCAAGTGGAACAACCACAAACCTGCGTTCTTCCACCTCCTGCGAATACTTCGGGAAAAGGTCAGCGTTTTGGCTGCCTCTTTTGCGATAATGTAAAATAATGAATAATTCAAATTTTCCAGTCTATAACCTATGTCTAGTTTTAAGTAATGTGTAAGCATTAGGTTTAGTTTGTTTTATAATGTGTAAATTACAGATTGTATACTATGCTGAGGAATAAAAATTTGAATGTGAGTCGTGGAGGACCTTCATCCGTTCCACCACAGAACGGGGCTCTATTCCACTCAGGATTTTCATAGTCCTTGTCTTCAAAATCATATTCAAAGATTTTTTCCACATGATACAGTACACAAATAACCCACACAATGGAGTGTGACTTTGTAAATATTGTACATTTGTTGATTGGATAAACGTATATTCATATATTTCATTTTCAGTACTGGTACAGTAGACCCCCGGTATTCGATATTAATCCGTTCCTGAGAGCTCATCGAATATCGAAAAGCGAATCAATTTTCCCGATAAATAATGGAAATCAAATTAATCCGTGCAAGACACGCAAAAGTATGAAAAAAAATATTTTACCACATGAAATATTAAGTTTAATACAATAAAATAATTACAATAACAATAGAATAATTGACACTTACCTTTAATGAAGATCTGGTGGTGATTGATGGGATGGGAGGAGGGGAGAGGTGTTAGTGTTTAGAAGGGGAATCCCCTTCCATTAGGACTTGAGGTAGCAAGTCCTTTTCCGGGGTTACTTCCCTTGTTCTTTTAATGCCACTAGGACCAGGTTGAGTCACTGGACTTCTGTCGCACAACATATCTGTCCATAGAGCTCTGTACCTCCCGTTCCTTTACGATTTGTCTAAAATGGGCCACAACATTGTCATTGTAATAGTCACCAGCACGGCTTGCAATAGCTGTGTTAGGGTGATTTTCATCCATAAAGGTTTGCACTTCAACCCACTGTGCACACATTTCCTTAATTTTTGGAGTAGGCACAATTGATTCCACAACTGGCATAGGCTTCTCAGGGTTAGCCCCAAACCCTTCAAAATCTTTCTTAATTTCCATACTAATTCTCACCCTTTTTACGACAGGGTTGGCACTAGAAGCTTTCTTGGGGCCCATGGTGACTTATTTTGCAGAAACAAGCACCAAAAACAATGATAATATGGAATGTACCGAATGTATCCTTAGATGCGCGCACACTGGCTGGCTTGTAAACACTGGCACACACGGGGCAGTTCAGCCCACACGTGGACACGTCTCGTACGAATCGTATCGAATACCGGGTTTTCGATCGGATACCGAGGCGAAAATTTTGCGTTACAATGCATCGAATACCAGATTTATCGAATACCGATGCCATCGAATACCGGGGGTCCACTGTATTTAGTTTCAGTAATTATATATTTACATATTTACTGACACTAGTTATTTATCACATCACATTTATATTCATCTTTACATTATTTTCACCTTACAATCGTAAGTCGAGGACCACCTTGATAGTATTACTGTATAATTCATCATATACCTCATATATAACTAGTTACAGAGCAAGGAGCTAGTAACCCCTTCTCTCTAAACCACTAAATTTAACCCGTGAACGGTACAAACGTATACAGTGGACCCCCGCATAACGATCACCTCCGAATGCGACCAATTATGTAAGTGTATTTATGTAAGTGCGTTTGTACGTGTATGTTTGGGGGTCTGAAATGGACTAATCTACTTCACAATATTCCTTATGGGAACAAATTCGGTCAGTACTGGCACCTGAACATACTTCTGGAGTGAAAAAATATCGTTAACCGGGGGTCCACTGTATATACGTTTTTTCAACATTTGAAAGTATGTAAAAAAAGTAGATCTTCTTTTTGTTTTTTTACATTTGAAAATGTGTAAAAAAACTTTGATCTACTTTTTTTTTGTTATATTTGAAAATATGTAAAAAAAACGTAGATCTACTTTTGTAGCTCTACACATGTGAACGTAGATCTGCTTGGACCGTTTACGGGTTAAAAAGAAAAAACTATTGTTTTTCTCTTTAGGTCGACCTGACTCGGTGGGATACGGGCGTTTCACTGAAAAACTAGATACAATATGTCATACGTGGTATCCCTCAGATTTATCAGGGTTGTCTCCCTAAAGCTTTAGCAAATCTAAAATCTGTGAAAATGTGAAATTTCATTTCAGATTTAGGCTAATTGTTTCAGAGATAATCTCCAAACATCAGTTGAATCAGATTAATGCTGAAATTCATAAGTAGGAGTTGCCAGAATAGAAATTTGTGCATTGTTAAATTAGAGTATTCGAGGGAAAATCGATGAATTTTCAGCTTAAGAGCTATGTGTCAAGGTCCCCCAAACATGCTTAGGTAGTGTAGCAGGTCTTGAAGTGAACCTAGGTAGTGTAGCAGGTCTTGAAATGAACCTAGGAAGTGTAGCAGGTCTTGAAGTGAACCTAGAAAGTGTAGCAGTTCTTAAAGTGATCTTAGGCAGCATAGCAGTTCTTAAAGTGATCTTAGGCAGCATAGCAGTTCTTCAAGTGATCTTAGGCAGCATAGCATCTCTTAGCCAATAAATTCAACATTACAACATTCTTGATTCCGTCCTCAATGATACTTTTGTGTATTTCAGGGATGCTATACTGACGTAACCCTGGCCTGTGGCGCAAAGTTCTTCGCCGTCCATCGTCTGGTGCTGATGGCGTGTAGTGACTTCTTCACCGAGGTGTTTGAACACACCCAGTGCCAAAAACCTGTGATCGTGCTGAAGGATATTAAGAGTCACGAGCTGGAAGCTCTCTTGGACTATATGTACCTGGGTGAGGTTGATGTTCAGCAGACGGACCTTCCGGGTCTAATTAAGGCTGCGGAATGTCTTCGAATAAAGGGTCTGGCCGTTCCGGACGAGGACCCTTCCCAACCCCTCAGACCGGAGGCTCCGATGGGAGGGGAGCGGCCGGCAAAACGGCGGAGACAAGATCGGGAGGCGAGAGACAGCGACCGGGGAACCACGAGATCTCACAGTGGGGACAGAGGGTGCCATGGAACGCCCTCCGAAGAGGTGACGCAGTATGGACACCACCGAACGGAGGTGATGCAGGGGGGTGGCGAAGTCGAAACCTCCAATAAGTGCATTATACCTCAGGCGGATGATGACGCCTCTCACCTCACCACTCAGGAAGCATCAGTCGTCCAGCGTACGGACAGCCTCCATGTACAACAGGAGTCAGAAGTGTCGCCCACACGAATACACGATGTGCGGATGCACCACGACTCTCGGATGCAACATGACATGCGGGCTCATGACTCCCGCTCGCAACCTGAGCCACGGATTCAACACGAATCGCACGTGCAACACGACATAGAAGTGTACTCGCAAAATGCGGCCGAAATCAAAACCGAACATTGTGATATTAACGAGGAGATGGAGAACGGGGGATTAAAAAGCGAAATATCGGAGATACAGGGTGACCCCATGAACGAGTCGTCTGGGGGTGGTGGTGACTTCTCGCATTTCCTCTCGGTGGAAGAGAACCTGGCACACCACATGTTTCAAACTGCACACCAGGCAGGACCCTCTGGTGTACACAGAGCGGCGGTGAGTCTCGCTGCTTGTGAGTTATAATGACGCTTTGTTGAGATTTTTAACCCGGAGGGTTAGCCAGCCAGGATAACCCAGGGTAGGGAGTGTTAGCCACCCAGGATAATCCAGGGTAGGGAGTGTTAGCCAGCCAGGATAACCCAGGGCAGGGAGTGTTAGCCAGCCAGGATAACCCAGGGTAGGGAGTGTTAGCTAGCCAGGATAACCCAGGGTAGGGAGTGTTGGACAGCCAGGATAACCCAGGGTAGGGAGTGTTAGCCAGCCAGGGTAATCCAGGGTAGGGAGTGTTAGCCAGCCAGGATAACCCAGGGTAGGAAGTGTTAGCCAGCCAGGATAACCCAGGGTAGGGAGTGTTAGCCACTCAGGATAACCCAGGGTAGGGAGTGTTAGCCAGCCAGGATAACCCAGGGCAGGGAGTGTTAGCCAGCCAGGATAACCCAGGGTAGGGAGTGTTAGCTAGCCAGGATAACCCAGGGTAGGGAGTGTTGGACAGCCAGGATAACCCAGGGTAGGGAGTGTTAGCCAGCCAGGGTAATCCAGGGTAGGGAGTGTTAGCCAGCCAGGATAACCCAGGGTAGGAAGTGTTAGCCAGCCAGGATAACCCAGGGTAGGGAGTGTTAGCCACTCAGGATAACCCAGGGTAGGGAGTGTTAGCCAGCCAGGATAACCCAGGGTAGGGAGTGTTAGCCAGCCAGGATAACCCAGGGTAGGGAGTGTTAGCCAGCCAGGATAACCCAGGGTAGGGAGGGTTAGCCAGCCAGGATAACCCAGGGTAGGGAGTGTTAGCCACTCAGGATAACCCAGGGTAGGGAGTGTTAGCCAGCCAGGATAACCCAGGGTAGGGAGTGTTAGCCAGCCAGGATAACCCAGGGTAGGGAGTGTTAGCCAGCCAGGATAACCCAGGGTAGGAAGTGTTAGCCAGCCAGGATAACCCAGGGTAGGGAGTGTTAGCCACTCAGGATAACCCAGGGTAGGGAGTGTTAGCCAGCCAGGATAACCCAGGGCAGGGAGTGTTAGCCAGCCAGGATAACCCAGGGTAGGGAGTGTTAGCTAGCCAGGATAACCCAGGGTAGGGAGTGTTGGACAGCCAGGATAACCCAGGGTAGGGAGTGTTAGCCAGCCAGGGTAATCCAGGGTAGGGAGTGTTAGCCAGCCAGGATAACCCAGGGTAGGAAGTGTTAGCCAGCCAGGATAACCCAGGGTAGGGAGTGTTAGCCACTCAGGATAACCCAGGGTAGGGAGTGTTAGCCAGCCAGGATAACCCAGGGTAGGGAGTGTTAGCCAGCCAGGATAACCCAGGGTAGGGAGTGTTAGCCAGCCAGGATAACCCAGGGTAGGGAGGGTTAGCCAGCCAGGATAACCCAGGGTAGGGAGTGTTAGCCACTCAGGATAACCCAGGGTAGGGAGTGTTAGCCAGCCAGGATAACCCAGGGTAGGGAGTGTTAGCCAGCCAGGATAACCCAGGGTAGGGAGTGTTAGCCAGCCAGGATAACCCAGGGTAGGGAGTGTTAGCCACTCAGGATAACCCAGGGTAGTGAGTGTTAGCCAGCCAGGATAACCCAGGGTAGGGAGGGTTAGCCAGCCAGGATAACCCAGGGTAGGGAGTGTTAGCCAGCCAGGATAACCCAGGGTAAGGAGTGTTAGCCAGCCAGGATAACCCAGGGTAGGGAGTGTTAGCCAGCCAGGATAGCCCAGGGTAGGGAGTGTTAGCCAGCCAGGATAACCCAGGGTAGGGAGGGTTAGCCAGCCATGATAACCCAGGGTAGGGAGTGTTAGCCAGCCAGGATAACCCAGGGTAGGGAGTGTTAGCCAGTCAGGATAACCCAGGGTATGGTGTTAGCCACCCAGGATAACCCAGGGTAGGGAGGGTTAGCCACCCAGGATAACCCAAGAAAATCAGTGAGTCATTGAGGGCTGTCTTATTTCCATTGTGATCCTTCAATCTTGTCCCCCAGGATACCACCCACACCAGTCCATTAGCACCCAGGTACCTACTTACTGCTAGGTGAACAGTGACAGCAGGTGTAAGGTAACACGACCAGTATTTCCACCCGTACCGGGGATTGAATCCCAGACACACAGTGTGTGAGGCGAGAGCATTACCCTTCAAGGGCAATGTGTTGATGCTGATAAAGGGCTCTTTATCTAAGGTATTTGAGCTACCCTTATCCTTGGATAATAGCTAATTACCCTCCCCCCGCTACCGCAGCAATGTACGACCCCTGTGGGTTTTGCACTCTCCCATGAACGTAAATAAATAACCATGCCTAGAGTAGTACTTCAGCCTGTTCCAAGGCTGGAATGCTGTAGTAGGAAAGCTTGAAACCCTTCAGAGATTCAAGTACAGTAGACCCTTGGTTATCGGCCGTAATCCATTCCAGAAGCTTGGCCTAAAACTGAAATGGCTGAAAACGAAAATATTTCCCATGAGAATTAATGTAATTACAGTTAACCTTTTGACTTGGTCGTATGTATATGTCTTACGAGCCACCGTGTCTGACGTATATATACTCATAAATTCTAGCGGCTTCAAATCAAGCAGGAGAAAGCTGGTAGGCCCACATGTGAGAGAATGGGTCTGTGTGGTCAGTGTGCACCATATAAAAAAAATCCTGCAGCACGCAGTGCATAATGAGAAAAAGAAAACTCCGACCGTTCTTTTTTTTTAATTAAAATGCCGACTTTGTGGTCTATTGTCGTATAATATTTATGGTTATATTCTCGTTTTCTTGGTCTCATTTGATAAAATGGGAAACATATTATAGAAATAGAGGTGATTTTGATTGGTTTTACTATGAAAAGAACCTTGAAATGAAGCTCAAAGTAGCGGAAATGCTTGATTTTTGCCGATGTTCAAAAGTAAACAAATAATGTCATTTTCCAATAAATGTCCAAGTAGCTATTCTAATATGCAGTCATGAATGGGCTGACATTATTTGTACAATTATTACAGTATTGCAGTAGTCTGCATAACAGTAAATTTTCTATTTATTGTTTGAATAAAAATTCAAAATAGAAAGCAAGAGTAATATCAGAGGGGCCTGGAGACATGACTGATGAACAAAGAAAATGTTATTTTAGAGCCAGGAATGTCTGCATTGTTCATTCTGGACCTTATTTTGAAATTGTCATATATTTTTAATTTTCGTGAAATTGGCCAAATTGCAAATTTCTGACCACATTATTGGGTAGTTGAAATTGGTAAATGGGCAGTTTCTTGTACATAACCCACTGAGCATAGTAGGCACGGTGCCCAGACCCTACACTTTTTTTAATACCACCAAAAATGTTTTAAGATTTGAAAATGAGAAATGATGAGCCAGACTTGACCCAGTAACTTGCTTTGAATTCTTCTGTGAATCTTTGTTGGTGTGAGCATGTCAGATGGGAGTGAGTGGAGGCATGTGGTTTGAATGATTTGACATGCTGTTGGAGTGAAGGGATTCAAGGAAACATGTTAACCAGACTTGAGTCCTAGAGGTGGGAAGTACAGTATGTACTTACACTCTGAAGGAAGGGTGGAGGTGTTAGTCAGAGTAATAGTAGTACTAGTACTTGTGCTGGGGTTATGTTCCAGTTAACTAAATACGGTGCCCCATGGCCTGGTGGCAAAAACTCTCGCTTCATGCAGTGAGGGTCTGGGTTCGATTCCTGGTGAGGGTGGAAACATCGGATATGTTTCCTTACATCTGTTGTCCACGTTCACCCATCAGTAATAATGGGTACCTGGGTGTTAGTGGAATGGTGTGGGTCGCATCCTGTGACAAAACTGACCTAATTTGCAGGAAATGCTCTGAATAACAAGCGGTTCTCTATATAGTAGTATATTATTGATGTCAGCTATGGTATGTATACCTTGTACATGTAGAAATAAAGATATTATTATATTTCTACTCATTTTTTTCAAGTTTGAGGTGAGACTGAAGGTGATTGGTTGTCTCCTGCAGGGCCGAGACAGCAGCTCGGAAGTCAGCGGGGAAGATGGCAGTGGCAACCGAGGTGGTGTTGGCGGCAGCATGTACCCCTCTCACCTGCTGGGGGACATCGCTCCTGAGGGCGCGGCGACGCTTTCCAACCAGTCGGTGAGTCTTGCCCTCTGGATGTATGTAGATGGGAGCTCAGTCACTCTTGAGAGTAGCCCGCGATGTCCAATTAAATGACAACAGTACAGTATTGCCAAGTTGGTGCTCCTTGACGTACCTTGGGGTTATGTTCCAGTGAACCCATTGTAAGTTGAAAATATCGTAAGTCAAATACAGTGGTGCATACCTCAAATTTCGAACAGCTCCCAACACGAACAGTTATGTAAGTGTATTTTTGGGGGTCTGAAATGGACTAATCTAGTTTACATTATTCCTTATGGGAACAAATTCGTTCAGTATCGGCACTCGAACAGTCTTCTGGAACGAATTAAGTTCGTAACTTGAGGTACCACTGTATTATGATAAATAAATAAGCAAATAAATACTTAAGTAATGGAAGATTGGATATCAGACTGGAGGGAGAGAGTATGGAGGAGGTGAGTGTGTTCAGATATTTGGGAGTGGACGTATCAGCAGATGGGTCTATGAAGAATGAGGTGAATCATAGAATTGACGAGGGTAAAAAGGTGAATGATGCACTGAGGAGTCTTTGGAGACAAAGAACTTTGTCTATGAAAGCAAAGAGAGGAATGTATGAGAGTATAGTTATACCATCATTCTTGTATGGAGGTGAGGCATAGTTTGTGAATGTTGCAACAAGGAGAAGGCTGGAGGCAGTGAAGATGTCATGTGTGGTGTGAGTATAATGCAGAGAATCAGTAGTTTGGAGATTAGAAGGAGATGTGGGATTACCAAAACTGTTATCCAGAGGGCTAAGGAGGGGTTATTGAGATGTTTTGGACATGTAGAGAGGATGGAATGAAATAGAATGACTTCGAGAGTGTATAAATCTGTAGTGGAGGGAAGGCGGGGTAGGGGTCAGCCTAGGAAAGGTTGGAGTTAGGGGGTAAAGGAGGTTTTGTGTGTGAGGGGCTTGGACTTCCAGCAAGCGTGTGTGAGCGTGTTAGACAGGAGCAAATGGAGACAAATGGTTTTTAGGACTTGACGTGCTGTTGGAGTGCAAGCAAGGTAACTTTTATGAAGGGATTCAGGGAAACTGGCAGGCCGGACTCGAGTCCTGGAGATGGGAAGTACAGTGTCTGCACTCTGAAGGAGGGGTGTTAATGTTGCAGTTTTATAACTGCAGTGTAAGCATTCCTCTGGCAACACATTGATGGAGGGAATGATGGTGAAAGTTTATCTTTTTCTGGCCACCCTGCCTTGGTGGGAAACAGCCAATATGGTATTAAAAAAAATAATAAAAATAATTACTGGGGCTGTTCCAATGAACGTATCATAAGCTGAAAATATCATAAGTTGAGTATGGTATGATAAATAACTATTGGGGTTATGTTCCGATAAACTCATTGTAAGTTGAAAACTTAAGTCAAATATGAATGCATGATAAATAAATAAATAGCTACTGTCACTGGCCCAGCCATGGGCCAGGCTCGTCCTGTGCACCTAACAATACGGTGGGTTAGTTTCCAGACCGCCTCCATAAAGCCAATATCGCCGTAAAGAAAATCACAGCCCTTTTTTTTTTTTTTAGCTTGCCAGTGCAAGTTATAACTACAGTATGTGTAACTGTATATCATGTCAAAATAAATATTAGTATTATTTTATTTTATTATCACACTGGCCGATTCCCACCAAGGCAGGGTGGCCCGAAAAAGAAAAACTTTCACCATCATTCACTCCATCACTGTCTTGCCAGAAGGGTGCTTTACACTACAGTTTTTAAACTGCAACATTAACACCCCTCCTTCAGAGTGCAGGCACTGTACTTCCCATCTCCAGGACTCAAGTCCGGCCTGCCGGTTTCCCTGAACCCCTTCATAAATGTTACTCTGCTCACACTGCAACAGCACGTCAAGTATTAAAAACCATTCGTCTCCATTCAGTCCTATCAAACACGCTCACGCATGCCTGCTGGAAGTCCAAGCCCCTCGCACACAAAACCTCCTTTACCCCCTCCCTCCAACCTTTCCTAGGCCGACCCCTACTCCGCCTTCCTTCCACTACAGACTGATACACTCTTGAAGTTATTCTGTTTTGCTCCATTCTCTCCACATGTCCGAACCACCTCAACAACCCTTCCTCAGCCCTCTGGACAACAGTTTTGGTAATCCCGCACCTCCTCCTAACTTCCAAACTACGAATTCTCTGCATTATATTCACACCACACATTGCCCTCAGACATGACATCTCCACTGCCTCCAGCCTTCTCCTCGCTGCAACATTCATCACCCATGCTTCACACCCATATAAGAGCGTTGGTAAAACTATACTCTCATACATTCCCCTCTTTGCCTCCAAGGACAAAGTTCTTTGTCTCCACAGACTCCTAAGTGCACCACTCACCCTTTTCCCCTCATCAATTCTATGATTCACCTCATCTTTCATAGACCCATCCGCTGACACGTCCACTCCCAAATATCTGAATACATTCACCTCCTCCATACTCTCTCCCTCCAATCTGATATCCAATCTTTCATCACCTAATCTTTTTGTTATCCTCATTACCTTACTCTTTCCTTACTATAAAAACATGTTTGTACTATCATATATTAAGTAAATAAAAATATTAGAAGATTATTAAAGAAAGTCTTCAGAGGATAATGGAGGTGCATCAACTCACTCGATTCACCTCAGAGTCACCAAAGCACCGAAAATAATAAATATGAATATATAGCCTGTCCTTTACTTACGATTGGGTTACGTTCTGACGAACGCACCGTAAGTAGAAAATATCGTGCCGAATGTGATGTGCTAAATAAATAAGTCAGTGAATAAGTAAATAAATAATTATTGTAACTAACTAAATACCAGTATTGAAAAGTCAGTAAATACAAGTTATGGACGTGTTGTCTTCATGTTGGGTAATTATCTTAAGTTTCATCTAAGTAATTGCTGCCGCACCATCGTAAAATTGAAATATTGTAAGTCGAACCATCGTAAGTTGAACCATTGGAAGTCGAACCATCATAAGTTGAACCATTGGAAGTCGAACCATTGTAAGTTGAAACATTGCAAGTCGAACCATCGTAAGTTGAACCATTGTAAGTTGAACTATCATTAATCGAACCATTGTGAGTTGAGCCGTCATAAGTTGAACCATTGTAAGTCAAGGAGCACTGTAATAAAACATTATCAAGTCATGACTGTATATTGGCCCAAGATAGACAAAATGTGAGTTACTTGTCAAGAACGCTACAAAGTCTTAACAGAATAGTGACTGGGTTGTGTTTAGTGGACCAAGGATTGAACCTCCATCACTCCTTAAACCCGAACGACCCTCCAGGAATTGAACCTGAAAGCCCTTCCAGGGTTCACATCTCACGGACCCTAATACAATAGATTGTGTAGAATTTGCAGTGGCTGGGCCACTAGCGGTTTAAAATGCAAATGCAGATGCAAACATGAATGAAAGTTTGTAAATTACTAAGTACTGTAGAGTTACTGTGTTCAGTAGAGTCATTATGTACTAAGGGACACTGACGGCATCTCAAGAGAGGTCAGAACTTCCATTTAACTGTGGTGTAGTTATGTTAATGTTAGTACCAACATGATGAATAAGACATATGTGCAACACTAGGTTTGGTGTGCAACACTGGGTGTGGTGTGCAACACTGGGTGTGGTGTGCAACACTGGGTGTGGTGTGCAACACTGGGTGTGGTGTGCAACACTGGGTGTGGTGTGCAACACTGGGTGGGGTGTACAACACTGGGTGTGGTGTGCAACACTGGGTGTGGTGTGCAACACTGGGTGTGGTGTGCAACACTGGGTGTGGTGTGCAACACTGGGTGTGGTGTGCAACACTGGGTGTGGTGTGCAACACTGGGTGTGGTGTGCAACACTGGGTGTGGTGTGCAACACTGGGTGGGGTGTACAACACTGGGTGGGGTGTGCAACACTGGGTGGGGTGTGCAACACTGGGTGGGGTGTACAACATTTGGGAATCTTTATTGAGGAAAACACTCTACCAGTCAACGGCTTCTTCAGTTCGATGCAGAGAAGAACGGTGGAAGGTAAGGAGGAATTTAAGGTAATCAGTCCATCTACCTGGAGTTGATGTAATCAGTCCATCTACCTGGTGTTGATGTAATCAGTCCATCTACCTGGTGTTGATGTAATCAGTCCATCTACCTGGTGTTGATGTAATCAGTCCATCTACCTGGTGTTGATGTAATCAGTCCATCTACCTGGTGTTGATGTAATCAGTCCATCTACCTGGTGTTGATGTAATCAGTCCATCTACCTGGAGTTGATGTAATCAGTCCATCTACCTGGTGTTGATGTAATCAGTCCATCTACCTGGTGTTGATGTAATCAGTCCATCTACCTGGTGTTGATGTAATCAGTCCATCTACCTGGTGTTGATGTAATCAGTCCATCTACCTGGTGTTGATGTAATCAGTCCATCTACCTGGTGTTGATGTAATCAGTCCATCTACCTGGAGTTGATGTAATCAGTCCATCTACCTGGTGTTGATGTAATCAGTCCATCTACCTGGTGTTGATGTAATCAGTCCATCTACCTGGAGTTGATGTAATCAGTCCATCTACCTGGAGTTGATGTAATCAGTCCATCTACCTGGTGTTGATGTAATCAGTCCATCTACCTGGAGTTGATGTAATCAGTCCATCTACCTGGAGTTGATGTAATCAGTCCATCTACCTGGTGTTGATGTAATCAGTCCATCTACCTGGAGTTGATGTAATCAGTCCATCTACTGGAGTTGATGTAATCAGTCCATCTACCTGGTGTTGATGTAATCAGTCCATCTACCTGGTGTTGATGTAATCAGTCCATCACTGAGTGTGCATCTGGTGAATGTAAGCAGTCGTACTACCTGGAGTTGATGTAATCAGTCCATCAATCTTGATAGACTGATCACAGCAGCTCTGGGCTGAGGGACTGATCACAGCAGCTCTGGGCTGAGGGACTGATCACAGCAGCTCTGGGCTGAGGGACTGATCACAGCAGCTCTGGGCT